TTTTTTATGCTATTGTTTGTTTGTGTTTGTTGTAAAAAATAAAAAAATTATAAAAAAAAAAAGAAGTGGGCCTTCTCTGTCATGGCACCTGCTCTACAGAACAGCCTCCCCCCAGAGATATGGACAACCTTACTGGCCTTTCGGAAGGCCATGAAGACCTAGTTCCTCCCCAGGCATTGGGGACGGGCTGTTAGTTTGGGAGCTCCAGCATGGATGTATGGCATAGGTGTTTTGTGTTTTTAATCAGAGGGCCTCAACCTGTGTTTTTGTTTGTTTGTTTTATTGCTGTTGTTTTATATGGCATGTTCACCACCCAGAGTTTTGCTGGATAGATGGGTGGCCTTACAAATTTGGTTAGTAAATAATAAAATACATAAAATTGTGAGAATGAGATCATTGTTAATACATCTCTTTGGAACTGATCACTATGTTTATATGATATGTTAAGAACCCTTGACCACATTTAAGCTCATAACTCCTAAATGTTTAACCCTACAACACATCATGCACATATTTTATTATATAGCATGGTAAGAGTCACTAGGAACCCATCCAGATGAAGCTATGGAAAGCTGTTGCTTCCTTAGCTTCCTAAATTGTGGTTTCCAGTTTGCAGTCTCACCAATCTACAGCCTGGCTACTGTTGTCCAAAGTATATTTGGCTTCCATACACCTTTTGGAGTTTAGAGCACTCCTAGAGAATGCAAGAATTGGGAATATGGGATTAGTAGACAACACTGAAAGATACATTCTTTTGAAATGCATTTATTTATTTATTTATTTATTTATTTATTTATTTTTCATTTATTTATTTATTTGATTTATATAGCTGCCCATCTCACCTTCACACAACTCTAGGCAATAAAATAAAATAGATAAAATACACAATATAAAAATAAAAACACTAACTTGCACTATCAACTTTCACAAAGTGAAATGAAATAATAGAAATAAATTAAAATTGCTGAATTATCTAAGTCACTATGTGACTTTGTTTTCACTGTACCTTTGTATAGCTCTGGGGGTGGGGGTCCTGGATTATTTGAAAGAACTTTTTTTT